TTTCGGCTCAAATCCAGGGCACCCCACGTCCTCCGCACAGCCACGAGGTCTGTTCGTCTCATTTACGTTCAGGCTGGGCCTCCTTTATATGTCAGCATGACCCTTGCACGCCTACAGGGACTCGTTACTTGGAGATGTAATCAGTAACGGCTCAACAGGGAAGGAGCAAGGGGCAGTTACCCACCTCCATATTTGGGCTAGTATATCCAAATTCGTGTTTCTGACCCTTTCTGCAACAAGTCGTAAATTTGACTGACGATTCTTCAATAAATGTGTCTACTTACAAAGCCCGTGGAACACCTAGAAGCTTACCCTATCCCAGTATCTGCCCATACAATTCTTAAAGCTTTATCATTTTATCGGACAGCTTGATAAAACCACCCGAACACTTGTAACAGTAGCGGTGGCTCTTTACGACTTAAACCAGTTCAATCACAAAACTGGCTGTTTACAAACAGCAAGGTCCGTTTACAAATGTTAATTGGTACCTCATGTCTAACATTATTTGTTGTTTCTTTCAGTGGTCTCAGTAGCCCAACACATGGGGTGATCTATGATCCATCTAGCTCCCCAAAACCTGCGATGACCGTGACACGTGACATACACTTTCTCCAAATTTGAAAGGTATGGTGCTACATTTTCAGAGGAGTTGTAATGGAGAAGGGCGATAAAGTGATTGTGCGGGTTCCCTTGAGTTCTTCTCACCAAAGCTCAAGAAATCCCTTAGATAGCCTCGCTTGGAAGTATTTGCTTTGAGAAGGCTCCGTTTCGATTAGAGTGTTCGAAACCACATAACAAATTTCATAGTTCAAAATCCGTGGCACCACTCGTCGCAGAAACGTCCTTCTATGGCCATGGTTTGTTGTGGTTGAGGAGATTTGAAGCAGATAAAGAAAAAGACATCACATCACGAAAAAAGACACCTACCAGGGGGTGTAGCTTCCTATTCAATCGCTACAAGACATAACATCCCGAAAAAACATCGCGAATTAAGACACTTACCCAGGGGTGTGGTTCTCCATTCAGTTGGGGGAGGGGGCTCCAGTGCCCCGCCCCCCCGGGGCTTCATTCTCTAAACGTTGGGAAGAAAGTGGGCCAAATCTGCAGTGTAAAATATAAAAAGCCTATTTGTTGGCCCATTTTGGGGTAGATTGGGTCCTTTTTCTCTGTTCAGCCCTCCACCATCCATGTTGGGAAACTACACCTCTGCACTTCCATCACGCGAACGCGCCTTTTTACGATACAAAGCTGAGACCCGGCCTATGCGGAGTTGCAGGATATGCGGGATATGCGGAGTTACAGGGCCAATGAATGGCTTATTTCAACCGGTTGAGCGGGGTGGGCTCTTCAAAACCCCCCTCCCTCCCCCCCCCCCCCCCAGCTTAGCCCTCCCCGCGAACGCCTGACCAGAGGCCTCGGTGTGCTTTGAAGCCCTGCCAAATCCAGGGAAGGGATATTTATAGCTTGTTCTGACGTTGCCCATTTTATGTTTATCTCTTTGGACTTTTTGCTGTTTGACGTTTTTTTTCTTTTGAGTTTTATCCTTTTTAACTTGCATCCATTTGCCTTTTTGCCCGTTTCGCTTCATGCCCTCTGACTTTTATCTTTTTGACTTTTATTGTGTTTGACTTTTTGGCTGTTTAACTTTTTGTATTTAACTTTTATCCTTTAGATTTTTTTGCCATTTGGTTTTTGTTCTTTGATTTTTTGGCTTTTTACCGTTTTGTATTTGACTTTTATTCTATTTGACTTTTGCCATTTGTCTTGCTGTCCTTCGACTTTTCGTTCTTTGACTTTTTGGTTTTGACTTTTTGTCCCGTACCGTTCATGGTGGTAGACTCAGCAAAAATAGAAATCATACCATCCATAACATTTCTCCATTTCAAATATTTCTGAGCAGCTCTGGTCAGCTTTTTCATCCAACGAGAAAATCACTAGCTCATATTCCGGTTTGACACCATAATTGGCTATTCTGGACGGAATTCGCAAGCATCATCTTGACAATACTGCCAATGAGAACAAAACAAATCTGCAACAATGTGATAATTAGGGGAAGTTCTCAGCTCTGTGTGCATGCTTTGCTTTTGCTCTGTCTAAAACCAGTAAGTCTACGCTAGTCTGACGGATCGATGACATTCTGTAATGTATAAACACCAGCCGACCTTGTCTTCAATTGCTTTTGTCTCCGTAGTCTGGGGATAGATGTCTCCGTGGCCTGGGGATAGATGTTGAACTCGTAATCCGCCGCATTGATCCGAAGTCAAGAACAGGCGTATTGTTTGGGCCGACTGACATGGAAAGGTCAGCTGGCAACTCGCCAACGAGGTTTAACCGCGGCGCAGCATTGAGGTGCACGTAAAACCATATCCAGCATTATGTGCCGAAAAGGTGGAGACAACTCCTGAATAAGTTAGGTCAGTGACGCAAGCGTATGACACGTTTTTCAAATGATAATATCTGGATTGGGATAAAGAATAAGTGACTCCGACATGCAGTAGCTTTGAAAAGTACAGCATGGCTCAGATAAAAGTTATCCCATGTTTCACTCAGCAGCAAGTGCATTTGTTACACAATCGTGACTGTGGTATCAGCGGCAGTGGTAATCATCAGTGATCTCAACCCCGTCGCATTGTGGACAGGATAATTTAAAATACAGTTCGGTGGTGTATCGTGCCCCTGGTTACATCAAACAAAACGGGTATCGGGGAATGGAGTCAACACATTCTGTGCGATATGCTCCATAGGAAAATAAATATTGCGGCGTTGCGGCGATCGGCTTTTGCAAAGAAATCTCATCATAGGCATAGCTTTGAATTGTCGGTTTTTTTGTTAAAAAACAATGTTTTTGTAGTGTGTAACCACTACCTATTAGTGTACTCACGCTCTATTATTTTCAATATGAAAACCCCCAACTCATCATCCGAGCCACCAAGATTCTAGACCCTTTTTGCTCACATCAACTTCCTACAGGTGCCAGAGCGCTGGCGACGCTATTTTCAAGACCTTCACTCTGGAGACCCACTCGGTCAACAGTCTTTAACTGCTCTGTCATTTTAGCTCTCGACATGTCTGTCGAGCTAGACGAGAGTCCTCGCTAGACGAAATTCAAAGCTTGGTATTGGTCTTTACTCGCAAACGCTTGCAGCGTGAGCATCTGTAGAGCACATGTCGAGCATTGACGTTTCGCTGTATGAGCAAATTGAGCCATAAGACGTGGCCAACTATAACATTCATCAGGAAAGTCTTTAGCAGGTGCTAGAAATATACTGTAGGGTGTACCATACCAGTGCTAATGTCAAGGATCAGTGGTGACACCACGCTTTTCCAAAGCCCTCAGATCAATGCTTTTCACAGATTTTACAGCCGAGATCCACTGAACAGCATAAAATACAAAATAACTAGGTTTATGACGAGTCATAAGAATCGTGGCTGTTCACAGCATCTTGCGACGAAGGTGATCAGTTTACCACGCGGTGTTTTAAAGCGTCGTGCCAATTGAGACAGATGAGTTCGAATGCTCGCCACGCGGCAATGAATTGGGTTCAGTGCAAAGCTTTGGGCTACCATTGGTTGTGGCCATGTCGTGAGAAGCTAACTGGCTACAAGAACGTAGCTAATCGTCAGTTTTAACGTGCTGAGTGGCTTATCTAAGGATTTACCATGAAGGGTGTCCCCAGTAATAAAGGTAAAACTCCCTGCTAAATCAGTATTGTTGCTTGTGGCTACCTGAGCTGAAGGTTAAGAGACAAACGGACGACTTTGAAGCAACACAGGCCATTAATTCATCCGGGGCTTCCTGCTGCTGAGAAGAATAACGGCCTTGAGGAAAGAGGCCGAGCATCGCTAGCGTAGGCCTCTCACTGTCCGCCGCATCGCAGTTTTACCGAACCGTCCGGTTGATAGGCGTAATAAAAAACTCTTTTTTCGTTATTATATTGTAAATAGTGCTGAGTGAAGGCAATAAGGGCGTTCATAAATGTCTTGTGCATCTGTTGATGCCAATATTTTATCAGCAGATGAGACAAAATCTGTTGATTGAGACCGTGTTTAGAAGTGCGAGTACTGCACCGCGAATAGATAAAAAGATAAAAAGGTCGCTAGTGCTTCCAGTTGATTGTGCGATGACGCCACCTAATCGAAAATAATATAATTTTCAGGTGGCTGTAGAACCATGATAATGGGTAGATATAGGGCTACAGGAACGTAGTTTTGCAAAACACTTGAGCAAGAGAGAGCGGCTGACTCAGGAAGAAAACAGGCAAAACCTGCCCCCGAAGTGCAACATAAACAGCATTTCCCAGATTTGACCCGGTTTCATTGCGGAGTTGGGAGTAAGGGCATACTTTCTCAAAATTATTTTGGGGCTGAGTCCTAAAAATTATCATTAATGAAAAACAATGGATAAATAATAACTGAAAATAGGAAACTACATCCCCGGATAGGACATACAATCTCCCTTCTCCAACTGAATGGGAAACTACACGTCCCTAGGCTGGCTATGTTAGGTATGCCTTGATCTCATAATTTTATTACTCAATCATCATTCAGTGTTTGATGACCAACAAATAATACTTTAGTGCAAATAAACTCACGAAACGAACATGTTTCATGGTCATGCCGCATCACATTTCATTTATCCTTGTTCTTGTGCTACATCGTATTTAAAGCTACATTGCGACGGTTTCTGAAATCTTTGGTTCCAGGTCGCAATTTAAGCGGTTCACAAATTTCGTCGGTGACGAGAAGACACTTCTTCACCCCTAAACAAAGCGCCAAGCCAGGGTGCAGCGAAGTATGGTCGGAAATAACGGGGATCAAAGGTCAGATATAAACCTGCACCCTAGTTGTCGGCACCCACCACCTTGGGCGTGTGTCAAGAGCTTCGTTCGCGGTTGACACCGTTTTCCTGTTCGCCCGTAAATAGGAAGAGCTACAATATCCAAACAAATCGGTGTACTAAGAGTGCTGATAAAGACTGTCATTTACCGGAAAAAACTCACCTTGCCTCGCACCGTCGAAAATGCCACCAGTTCCGCACCGCATCCGGAAGCGACGAGCAGTCACCGCCCTCAAGTGCGGGCTCACGTACACCGTGCGCGCTCGGCGCCCCGCCAGCATCGTGCCCCCACCGCCGGCTCGCAGCGCCGCCCCCCGCCGCGCTCCGGCGTCGCACGCCGGCCCGCCGCCGCCGCCGCCGTCAGCCGCGCTCGAGTGGGCGCCGTCGGCCCCGTCGCCTCCGACGCGCGCCCCGCGGGGCTCGTCGGCGCCGACACGCCCGAGTGTGACCAATGGGCGGCGCCGGACGTCGACGGCGCTGTGTCGGCGACAATGGGGCGCAAATTAAAGCCGGCCGGTCACGGCACGGGTGGGGCTGCATCCGGGGCCGCGGCCGCTGGGCCTAATTGTAGTCGGGCAGCCGGGGCAGTCGTCCACGGTGCCAGCAGACGAGGCCATAGGCTGCATGGCGACTCAGAAGCGAGCGCATCATCCACTTATGGCGTTAGGTTATGGACGCTTGGGAGAGGGCCGCGTGGATCATTAATGCTCTGTCATAAAGGGCCAAGTGTGAAGCGGGAGCCAAAAGTTTGCATCTCGATCAGCCTCGGAGTGGGAGGTAGGTCCAAAGGTCAGGCTGGATGTCTGAATTATTACTGATGCTCTATCGGGAAGGTTATCACAAGTGTGAGACATACTGGCTATTGCGGTGCAGCTGTCAAACCGAGATCACGGTCTATAGTCGACGATTTGTATATAACGGTCGGTCCTATTGAAGAAAACGACGAGAAAAGAGATGTGCTTGCATTATTGTAGAGTTGTTAGTGTAGAAACATGGACGCCCGATACACTTCCAGGCTAAGGAGGCCAAATGTTGAATAGCATAACCTCGTATCAATACCAAACCCAATTTTTCTCTTTACAATTTTCCGTCCAGATTGTAAATTTCCGCTGCTGGATTCGGAGCCAGCTTCTGCCAACGTGCTTTAAAATTACGCAAGCTATTCAGTGCAAGTTGCGAGGAACATTATTCACATAGATCAGACAGTGCCAATAACCTTATTCCTCAGAGTAAACCAGAAGAATAAAGATATAAATGGGTTGATATCTCGGCAACTTGCCTTTATCGAAACAATAGCAGAAGTAAATTTAAAATTGCCCGCCGATGACCGAAGACCCTATAACAACGACCCTTGGCCCAACGCCGATGACCCTTGTCGATTTTTCAGTTTCTTTTTTGAAACAGCGAGACATAGTTTTTATAGGGCACCAACCTTCAGGGGAATAAACAAAGAACGATTGTCAGCCATCACCACAATAACTATGGCTATCAACCACAATCTTTTCCTGTATATCCCCGTTAAAACGTCATTCATAGGGGACTTTGAGAATAGACCACATGGACCTCGCGCGCTTCCATATTGCCTTCGCGTGCTCGGTCTGGCCATTCATTTTACTTTCTGAAGTCATAAATATCTAGTCCGAAACAATCACCGAGCTTAAAGTTGTTTTTTTTAGCTCAAGATATCAGGAAACGTTATGTTTGTGAATGCCGCATTTCATTCGTCACTCCAGCTTTGATAAGTCAGAACTCTCCGCCCACTTTGCAGTTTGGCGTAATTGCCCACCAGATATTGCTTGCCAGATATTGCTTCGCGATTATTGTTCGCTTCGTTAATGATCGTTACATTGCCAGCCATTGCAAATATAGGTTTTGTGGCTTCAGTCAACATTGTTTCAGCCGTGTATTCGACGAATCCTCAGTTTTAGCTTCTGAAACAAGAGCAGCTGCGCAGCTTGCTGGGTTTTTGCCGTTTCCGATCGCGTCTCGTCGGTCACTGATAATACCAAAATATGTCAGCTGTGCCTTTTCGGGCTTCTGCAAATGTTTTGGGGCGATCGACAAATTCAATCGATCCAGCTAAATGAACGACGCCCGCACTTGCAACTCACTCGTCTTTGTGTGCCAGCAGCCATACCCAGAGTGTCCGGTCTACTGACAATGCTAGAGGGATACTTGAAAAACACTTTAACAGTATAGACGTGTTTGAGAGACCAGCTTAGCACCCGCACTTTACTGTATGCTATCAAAAGAGCTGCCTTTTCGCCGACGAGGCTGAGGTTCTTCAAGCGACTTGTTGACGATACACAGGTCCCTCGTTTTTTGTACAAAGGCTACCCCGTCGAGCACTGGTTGGTAAATGAAACGGATATTTGCATTACTAACTTCAGCTCACGTGCAAACGAACTCAGGACCAACGCGAGAAGACTGAGCAGTTTTTGGAACCTGTCACAAGTCGTGCAATCGTCCCCATTTCCCAGTAAAGCTCCAGAGGGTAAAGCTGAAACTTTTCCTGATGTAAATAAATGTTTGTGTCACTTGCGACAAGGCACTTTTCTGTGACCCCCCTGATAAGGCTGTATTGAAGCGCTGTCTCGTCGCGCTGATCGGGCTCACATGCGAATGGTGGCACTAACTGCAGCGTGCTGTAAATACACTTGTGGCTCTCTTCCAGGTCAGATACTAACTTCGGGAATATTTTCCAAAAAAGGTTCGGATAAGAAATGCCAATTTTACCGTAAAAGTCATTTTTGGTAGAAGGGAATTTTATTAATGGGCTATGAGAGGACAAAGGGCATGGGATAATTTCTTACTTTAAACCAGCACACAGCACGCTGGAGCGTAATGAGCCCGCTCACCTGGTAATGTGTAGGCGACAAAGCAGTGCTCTGTAAGATCTGGGGCAAGAAGAGATGGTTCGCATGCAGGATAGCGACCAGCCTTAACCGCCTGCCGCCGCAACTACGAGGCTTCTACATCTCCGGTTTCAAAATGGCCGTAGGTGATTGGAGCAGCGCTGCCAGATTTGAGCGAAACACCATCTGCGAGTATCTGCTCACTATGCAACCAGGCGTTTTTATTCCTTGGTTCGCTCTCTCCCCGATTTGTCTAAATGGAAGTGCAGATGTCACATGTTTTGTGCAGTCTAATTGAAATCTGGGAAATCATCCATGTAATACAATGCAACACAATGAAGTGCACAAATTGCGTAGTCGCACAGATTGTCTAGGAATCCTTTCACCGAAATATAATTTCGGAACGCACGAATGTATTTATTGGGCGAAACCACGTAACACCAACGTCCCTAAATTACAGAAAAGTCGAAGTATCGCATGTTTCATGGCATAACTTCCATTGAAGTGATATCAACGCGGTGATTTGGCAACAGACACCATGCCCGTCGGCCAAACACAGTTTGTCAAAGTTAATTAAAGTTAAATGAAAAGTGAAATTAAAGAATGCAGGCTGCAGAACTATTACGGAACGCGCATTTGCTACAAAGTATGAAAATAAGCAGCCAGCTGAGGCGCTTTCAGGCATGCACTCGTCTCTCCAAAGACCATAAATCCAGGAGCAGCCAGCCCGCTCCGCCGCTCTCAAGCCCGATATCGGCGGAGTCACTGGAGCCCCGGCACGTGCGCGGTGATTAATCGTGGAGACGGCGCTACCCCACTCCCACTCCCTACCCCGTCCCGTCCAGCCACGATCAAAGTGGCTATCCCATGGCGACAAATGGCCATTGCCAACACGGGCGTAGCCCCCAGGAGGGAAATGGCCAAACTTCCGCGTAGGCGTGGCAAGCGCCGCACATTTCGCTTCACGCCGCACCATGTGCGTCCTTTTACGGCTGCCAACAGTCGCTGGCAGGCGCAGATGCCTGACCTGTTAATCATGATTACCGGCGCATCGGGCGACAGTTAAGCCCGCATTGTCCGTGCCAGCACCCGCGGCGCCGCCTGGCCTGGCCGATTGCTCGGATCCGAACGCGTGTCGGAAACACGACTGGCACGTTTTGCCGAGCGGACTGTGCCGGCGCGGGCCGAGGCGCTCTGTCGTCCGCCTGCGGCAGACGGCGCGGCCGGCACGTCTCGCCGAGCGGACTGTGTCGGCGGTGGCCGAGCCGCTCGGTCGTCCGCCTGCGGCAGACGGCACGGCCGACACGTCTCGCCGAGCGGACTGTGCCGGCGCGGGCCGAGGCGCTCTGTCGTCCGCCTGCGGCAGACGGCACGGCCAGCACGTCTCGCCGAGCGGACTGTGTCGGCGGTGGCCGAGCCGCTCGGTCGTCCGCCTGCGGCAGATGGTCGGCATTCAGTCGGCCGCCGGCTGACGTGCAGTGAAGGCCGGCCGCTTGCTTGCCGGGAACTTGGAAGCAGTCATGCATTCGGCACGCGGACGAGTTCGACTGGTCGTCTGGGGCTCATGACCACGCGCTGGCAGAGAGTGCGCGCCTGGTTGGTGGGGGCTCGTTGTCTGCAGCTCCCCGCTGGCGCAGTTAACACAGCGGGGCGCGGGATGGGACAGCTGTCTGCCCGGAAGCAGCGCCAACTTCAGCAACGGTCTGGAGCGGCCCCCAAGATTTTGATGGCGTGCGCCGCAGATGCTACTCACGCCATAATGCATATGTTTTGACATTCCATGGAGGGCGATTAATTTGTGCAATATCCGTATTGGGGTGCTCCGTGTTAGATGGCTGTGGGCCCGGTAAAACACTT